TTAAGTGTGACAAATATGCAAAAAATTAAAAAAACAAGAAGGGGCTAAACCTTTTTCACACCACTGTATCTCTCCAACCCATTCCAGGGCTTTTCCTGCAGGCTGCTGTATCCAGTGAGTCCAGTAGCTGCTGTCAGTCACTGAATATCCAGAGATTTTAGTCAGTTCAACACAGTGGACACCTGAGAGGAAAAATATGACCAGACATGGCCATGAAAAATGTTCACGATATAATTATGTATAACCATAGTATTTTTATTATGAATTATCTATAGACGTTACGATGACTTACGAGAAGCAGCTGCCAGCAGCAGCAACAACCAGAGAGATGAAGAGATCATGGTTTGAGACGTATGAGAACAAGCTGCTTCTTTTCATCCTAATACTCAAATAAAGAGGAGGAGGAGGAATATTTGCATACATTACTGCATATGCAACACAGTAATATGAGTTTGTGTATGAACAGTGCAACACACATGTAATTCAAATAATGGGAAATATGGGCTGATACCTGATCCTTTAGCAGAAGGTGTCTTTCTTTGGTCTGTTTCTTTGGCTCAGAGTTGTACTGTGCTGCAGCGCCATCTATTGTTGTTGTTGTTGTTGTTGTTGTTGTTTTAATCTCATTTTCCTCCCTGGCATGTTTTTGTACAGCTCAGTGCTTTTTCTGCATCATCGTGTATTTCTTGCACAGTAATATAGAGCTGTATCTTCTGTTGTCAGACCAGAGAGTTTCAGATACACCATGCTGTTTGAATTATCTCTAGTGATCTCTATTCGTCCCTCTACACTTTTAGCATACACTGTTTTACTGGCATCATACCAGATAACCCCCATCCAGATGAATGTTTGTCCTGCTGGCTGTCTGATCCAGTGCATGCCGTACTGTCCAAAATCAAATCCAGATCCAAATCCAGATGAGAGATTCAGAGTTTCTCCGGGCTTTTTGGTGACAGGACTTGAAGGGATGAACTCTAAGCTCTGACCACCTAAATCAGCTGAAAGGGATAAAGACCTGTGTGTGTGTGCGTGCGCGTGCGCGTGCGCGCGCGTGCGTGTTCAAATTTTTTGGGGGGGATTTTCCACTAGTTTTGTGGCTTTTAATAATCTGTAAATTACTTTGGCCCTTTCAGTAACACTTATACAATGATTATAAATCCATTACATCAGTTTGTCATCATGACGCTTTGATATTTGTTGAGTGTTCATTTTCTTTATATTGGTTCAAATGATACATTACTTGGTGATAAATTATGCATTTGTTTCATTATAAGGCTTTTTTATGGAATTTTGTTGTGCAAGCTGAATTAATGTCTATAATGTCATTATGACATTTGAAAACCTTTTGTGTTCAGACTGTTAATGATTTAAATATTTTCAATTTGTGATATGATGATGATGTTTTTGTACGGGGAGGCTGTTGGCGTCTGTCACTGTGTTTATCTGGCACAATAATACACAGCTGTGTCTTCAGCTTGCATATTCTTTCCTTGCAGTGTTATTGTGTTACTGGAAGTGTCTCTGGTGATACTGAACTTGCTTTTCAGCGAGTCCTTGTAGTATAAGTCTCCATTATGCCAGATGACTCCAATCCACTCCAGAGCTTTTCCTGCAGGCTGACGAATCCAGGCTGTAACATAGCTTGTAACTGAATATGAGACTTTACAGTTGATAGTGAGAGTGGCATCAGGACGGACAGTCAGAGACTCAGGCTGAGTGAG